AATTAAAATATGAGTTCTGGTTCTAATTCTTCAGCTATTAGCTACTTCTGAAATTCAGAAAGCACCAAAATTAGGCTGAAGGGTTATATAATATCTATTGAGTCTTCAATGTCTGATATTATAACAACACTACTTACAAAGAAAAAGAAAAATAGCCCAGGGTATGGTCTACATTGGACTGGGTTAGTCTGTTTTCCTAATGCATACTTTGTTTATTGGCGAAATATTTGACAAAAGACACTTAAGGTATAAGATAAATGAAACACTAAGTATGACTTCTTAGTTCTTTAGCTTTATCCAGCATAATATTGGGTTGTTGGAAAAGTCATGAAGCATTTTGCAACGAAAAACATAGAAAAAAACACGTCATGAATTTTCCGACAAGCCAATATCTCAACCGAGATTGCCCAGCTTCTGTGCATCAACTAATCCAGTGAAACTGACTTCAGACTATCCTGGTTATTGGTTCACTTTATAACAACATAGTAAGAATTTAAGAGTACTTTTGATTTCACAACCACCAAAATATAGTTGATTATAGTTGTGTAAATCCAGGTTTTTATTTATCTGGAAAATCAACATTTGGAGCTATATTTATTCACTCATTTAAAACCATGTTTACCTTGGTTATAATTAGGCCATCTTACAGTAAAGGCATGATAAACAAGTAGTGACTAATTAATACTTATTAGCTGAGCACCTACTATATGTATAGCATTTGATTCCAGCACAGTGAATCAAAGAAATGGAGACCTAGAAGGATCCTGAGGCGTCCACACATGATAGCTCCTCATAATTAACGAAAATATTTTCTACATACCCGAATAACCAAAAATAATTATAGTTACTTTCTTGTCCTTCATAAACTAGTACCAGGAATATGAGGAAATCATTTATGTGTTCACTTAAATTTTATGCCCTTATCATTTATAAAATATCCATGCATGGGGCAGCCAGGTGGCTCAGTTGGTTAGAGCGCAGCGCTCATAACACCAAGTTTGCCGGTTCGATTCCCACGTGGGCCACTGTGATGCACCCTCCACAACTAGATTAAAACAACTACTTGACTTGGAGCTGATGGGTCCTGGAAAAACACACTGTTCCCCAATAAAATACATACACACATACTATTAAAAAAAAGAATATTGTCTAAAAATAAATAAACAAATAATAAAGTTTAAAGATTTTTAAACGTCCACCATGATAAACCATTTAATTCTCTGTGTCTAGAGTCTATCCTCTCTAAGCAGCTTTCAAATGACCATTGGCTTCCCATGTAGGTCAGCTGGCCACGCCAATGAAAGCATTCCAGTCCATGGGATGACGATTCTCATTGTAAATGAATAAACTGGCATTGTTAACTGTAAATGTTTGTTTCGTAAAAGCAGTTAACAAGGACCATCCGCGAACAGAGCAACTCTTGCTATACTGATCAAGTTACGATTCCGAGCTTGCAGAAATGACCCCACAAATCCACCTAAGAGCCACGACCCATGAGGTCTCCTGGGAGGCAGCCAGCAGCCTCTGGCTGTAACTCAACCTGGCCACCGAGAGCCCTTTCCACTGGAAACTTCTAGACTCAGTGAGACCCGCCCTGCTGGGAAGAGTTGAGGCTGAGCAGGCCGGATGAGGCCTGAAAACCAAGTATATGGGAGTGTGGACACCCTCGTGGATAGGTGAGGCAGGCGCCCATCACCCCAACCTGCCCTTCTGCCCCCCAACGCCCAAGTACCTTCTTGAGCTCGTCTACCTGGCGAGAATCTGCGGCATCAGCTCGGGCCTGCCCTAATTCCCTTTGCAAGAACTCGATCTTCTCCCCGAGCTCCTCTTCCATCTCCTCCTTCTCCATCCGCAGCTGCAGAAGTCTGAACCCAGACAGGTGAATTAAAAGGGAAAGGTACAAGGTCAGGCTAGCTGCCTGGGAGAGGTCAGCAGGACGGTCACAACCACCTCCCTGGAGGCCACTACGCTGGGCACTCAGCTCTCAGGAGGGCGGGAGGTGGATATGAGGAAGGGCAGGCGGAGGAACAGCATGGCTGGCAAGGAAGTAGGGCGTGCATGAGAATCACGGAGAAGCATTCCTCCTGGGAGAGGGCCGGGGTCCTTACTCCTGCTTGGTGGTTCGAAGCTCCTCCTTGTTCTTCTGGAACAAGCTCTGCCAATGTCCTGTCTCCTCTGAGGTCTCCTCCAGCTCCCGCTGCAGCCCCCGCACCAGGGCTGACATCTTCTGCTTCTCAGCCTCTAAGACTGCATGGTCCTAGGAAAGGGAGAGTTGGGGGGGCAGGAGGCTCACAGGGAAGAGCTCGCTTCAAACTAAAGCAGGTGTAGAAGGGGAGCCTCAGGCCCAGAGGGCGCCATGACAGCTGCACACCCTCACACCCCCATGCTACCTGGTACGATGCGAGGAGAAGGCTCTCTCCCCAAGTCATAGTCCGCCCCTCTGCCATCTACAGGAAGCCTCCCCCGTGGGACTCTGGTCACGCACCCTTATTACTTCCGGCCTGCACTCCCTCCCTCTGCCCTTGTCCTGACCAAGGCTTTCATTACTCTCACGTGAGTCTTTTAGGGGGCGTTCCAGTTACGACCGTGAAAAGTCCCCAAATTCCAAGACCTCAAGGCAGCCCCTCTCCTGGGGGTGCCCTCTTCTCCCGGCCCCTGCGCTTGTCACATGCCTGGGCTGCGTCTTGCACACTCCTGCGAAGCTGCTCTGCGTCCCGCTGGCACTGCTGCCGGACACGCTCCACCTCCTGGTCCCGGGAGGCCACCTCCTCCTTCAGGGCCCCCTTCAGGGCTGTCAACTCGCGCTCCCGCAGCCTCAGCTGCTCCTCTACCCGCTGTTTCCCCTCCAAGACCTCTTCCAGAAGTTCCCGGGTCTCTATCAGGTCCTGGGGAAAGTCAAGGTCAAGGACAGAAGTGACCATCTGAGGAGCCACCTGTCTACTCATTCACTCAGTCAGTCGAGCCAAAAATATTTATTGAGCACCTTGCATCTGTTAGGCACAGAACCAGGTGCTCTCTGCCCTCTAAGATGCCTCGTTAGGATCAAGGAACCCAGCATTCTGGGCTCTAGTCCCATCCCACCATTGGATGGGTCTGAAAGCACACTAAAGGGTACCCAGAATCAGTTACTACTCCCCGGACTTTGAGGAAACCGGGAGACGCACAGGATTGAGGCTCTAGTTGAAAGGAAGCAGAGGATGGGGTACCCAGCTCAACTCCCTACCTTCATTAGCACCTCCTTAGCGGGCTCAGGACCCTGGGCCTGTTTCAGCTTGTCCTGCAGCTCCATCACCTGGGCCTCCAGCCCATGTCGCACCCTCTCACCTTGGTCCAGGCGGAGCTTCATGCTCTGGAGCCTAATAATTAATAACAGATAATGCTATTGTGTCAGGCAGTTGTCTGAACACTTTACATATGTTAATTCATTTAAACCTCCTTTAAGTCTTTGTTCAAATCTTAGCGAGGCCTCCCCTGACTGCCTTATTTAATATTGTAACCTGTTCCCCCACAACCCAGCCCTCCTGATCTGCTATAACTCAGTCTACTTATCACCTTCTCGCATACGACAGATATACCTACAGAACATGTTTATTGTTTACGGCCCATTCCCCCCCTAACTAGAAACTACGCTTCCAGAGAGCAGGGAACCTGGGTGGTTCCCTGCTGTACCCCAGAAATCGGTACCTACCAAACAGCATTCATTGCAAAAACACCTGCTGAATGCATGACTGAAGCCTCACAACCATCCTGTGAGGTAGGTGCTCTTATTAACCCCATTTTACAGATGAAGAACCTGAGACACAGGCTTGCCAGGTAGCCCGACTCATGCACTATCACCATTACTGACAGAGAAGGTAATGAGAGAGGTCCTATCTTTAAAGCATCTCTGTCTGTCCCTTCCATCTTCTGGAGAGTTCCTCCTGTCTCCTTCAGCCCTGGGGCAGCCTCTAACTCTGGCTCAGGCCCCATGCAACCCCCCACTTCCCTCACCCCCACCCCACCGTGCACCATCAGCTGCACTCACTCCTTGCTGCTCTGCTGGGCCTCCCCCATCTTCCTCCCCAGCAGCTCCTGCAGTCGGCTGCATTCTTCCATCTTCTCCTCCAGCTGCCGCTCCAGCCCAGCCCGGGATGGTTCTAGCTTCTGCCGTTTCTAGAAAATGAGAGGAGAGGAAAGCAGGCAGAGAGTAGGGAACGCCCCTGAGAAGGACATGGGGTGATGGAAATGTCTCAGTTCTGATGGCTTCAAATACATCCACAAATCCTTTGACATTCCTTTCAAAGGTAAATGAAGCCTCCCCGCCTTGAGTACGGGCTGGACTGAGGGACTCCCTTCGAACAAATAGAAAAAGAGGCAAGTGACGTGTACCTTCTGAGACTAGGTTATAAAAACGCATTGCAGCTTCCTCCTTACCTTCTATCTGGTTTCACACACTCTTGGGGAAGGAAGATAGTAGCTACCAAATTGTAAGGACACTCAAGCTGCCCTATGAAGAGGCTCACACAGCAAGGAACTGAGGCCTCCAACCAACAGCCATTGAGTAAGTCATTTTAGAAGTAGATCCTCCAACTCCAGTCAAGTCTTCCTTGCCAATACTTTGACTGGAACCTCAGAAAAGACCCCGAGCCAGAACTGCCCAGCTAAGCTGCTCCCAAATTCTGGGCCCTCAGACACTGGGAGAGGTTTGCGTTCAGCTGTTCAGTTTTGAGATAATTCGTTACACAGCAACAGATAACTATTGGGTTGTCAGAAAAGTCATGACGCATTTTTGCAACAAAAAAACATAGAAAAAATACGTCATGACTTTTCCGACAACCCAATAATATAGTAATACTATTATTATCCCCACTTTACAGTTCAGGAAACAGAGGCTTAGAACATTTCAAAGAACTTGCCCAAGGTCAGTTACACAGCCAACAGCTAAGGGTACCAGGATTTGAACTTGGTTAGTTTGTCTCCATAGCTCACCATTTAATGACCACACTTACGCTACACTGCTTTGCAGGAAACAAGGGGATTGACAATCCAACATTTCTGAGCACCAACTATATACAGGCAATGCTACAAGAGTTGGAAGCAGTATTTTAAAGGGAGGAAGGAAATGGGGGTACATAGGCTTTAGAATCAGACTGACCTGAATTTTTAAATTTCTTCTCTGCAGCTTACTACTTTGAGCAATTCACTTAATCTCTCTGATCGTCAATGTTCTCATCATAAGAGGCCAAGATGCCTACTTTCCAGGGTCACTCACTATAATTATTATGCATTACCCAGGACAGCACCTACTACAAAAATCATACTCAATATATGACAGCTACTATTATCACCATCATTATTAGGAGGATGAAAAGAACTGAGGTAAGTAATTTGCTCAAGATAAGACAGCCAGCAAGCGGCAGAATCAGGATGGGAACTGCCAAGAGAAAAGGAACGGAAGGTAGTTGGACCCCTGATGGATGTGCTTCGCATGTTTGAGCGCCAGAGAAACCCAGATGTCCTTGCTGGGACCAGCACACACTCTTGTCTCGTCTCACAGGACACCCAAGTGCTCTTTCCATTGCTTAGAGGCGCCAGCCCAAGCCAGGGTTTTTCATCCTTTAGGCACCTCTGACCTCTCCTCACCTTCACCTCTTCGTCCAGCTTTTGCTGTAGTTCCTCCACTTGTCGGGTAAGTTCGCCCTGCCCTGCCAGGGTCTTAGAGGAACCGGAAGCAGCCATCTGTCAGAGACATGAGGGGGTAGTGGGGAGGAAGTGAGTCTCTATCCAGATCCTGAGGCCCAAAAGGCCCTGACCCTGACCTTGCTCCCACCATGAGAAGGCCACTCACCACCAGAGGCTGCAGCTGCTCCAGCACCAAACTGACCTTCCTCCTCACGGAGGTTTCCGTTTCTGGGCTTCTGGAAGATGAAGAATAAAAGCAAAGGTGAGGGGAGGACAGAGGAAACAGAGATGAGGGAAGAGTGGGTAGGACGGGAAGCAAGCGAGAAGGGTCAGAAGGGAGGTGCGGATCCACCATTGGAGGGCCCCGCTCACCCCTCCCTGAGGATGCCGTAGATGGTGGCCTTCACGTGGTCCACACTGCCTGGTGGGGCTGCCTCCTGCTGGTCTCGGAGAAGGTCCGGCGTTGACTTGAACTGCCAGGAAAGGAAACCCAAAGAAACAGGAAGATGAAGCCAGAAGCGTGTGCGGGGTTCACAGGGAGCAGAAGTGGCCGTTGGGAGACAAGGCCCTTCAAGCATGATGGACAAGCCTGAAGCGGGGTAAAGAGGGAACACCGCTGAGCCCCGAGCCACAGGCCCGGGAGAGGCCCCAACAGATGCACCTCACAACTGTTGTGAACCAGATCTTCCTCAACAAGCTGCTCTCCCCGAGTCGTGAGCTGTGTCGCAAGTAATTTGTCACTACTGACAGTTAATGTACTAGAGTTTATAAATGATTTACTTCTAGAATGGGCTTAACTTTGTCTCAGGGTACAACTGCTTCCCCACATACTTGCATTCCTGAGTGACAGACAAACGTAGGAGTTTTGGCAAGAGCACCAGGCAGCTGCTCATATCCCCTGAGCCTGCCTGCCGTATGCCGCAGGCCTAGCACAGGCTAGTGACCGAGGCAGTTAATGGCTGGGCAATGACAAGGAACCTGCCAGGCCTGTGAATGGGGATTTCATAGTCTGTTCCTTTTCCTTTAGACATTTGTCCTTGGAAATCTTGCACACGTGGATGGAAAAAGTAGAGGACAACAGGTAGAGCCTCTCTGCCCTCAGTCACTGAACCAGCAAGGGGTCCTGGGACCGGTGGGTCAGGGCTGATGACAAGGGGCCTGGGTATGGAAGCGGCAGAGGGCGGGGTCTGACCTGCAGCACGGTGGGTTCCAGTGTCCTCCCTCGTGGTTCTTCAAAACTCTGAAGGACCCAGTCGTGGGTCTGACGGGACCGGCTGAAGCCACTGGGGGGGCTCTGACTCTGGGCCAGCTGTTTCAAGCTGCCCAGGTGGCTGTCCTGCTTTGGGCTAGGGCTCCAGGGGGTGGGGGACCGGCGCTCCCGCTCCTCGTGGGTGTCCCGTGGGAGCCGGTTGTCCAGGCTCTGACTCCGCTTGCGCTGCTCAGGGGCCACGGAACGCATGCGGCGGCCAGTGCGGCCCCGGGCCTGGCCCCCATAGCGACTATCAAACTTGTTGATGAGCGAGTCCACTGAAGACAGGGGAGCAGTGTCAATGGTGCCCCCTGGAGGAGCTCCCTGGGGGGCCAGCTCCAGCAGGCTAGTGCTCCTGTTGCCCTGCCCCATGGGGGCAGGGCCTGTCAGTGAGGCCTGGGACTGGGAGCGGTGAAGCCTCCCATGCCAGCGGGCCCCGGCCTCCTCATCAGACATGCTGTCCTGCGAGCGGCCAAGAAACTCCCTGGCCCGAGAGTAGGGCTTCTCAGGGAGTTCGGAGTCAGAGCTCGGAGCGCCCGGGGCCCCTTGGTTGTTGGCCCCCTTGATTTGGACCCCAAAGGAGTCACCGCCACCTTTCTCTCCACTATTGAGCACCACAAAGGGCTGCCCAGCGATGCCCTGCACACGCACAGCGACCCCATAGGTATTGGCTCTTGCATCTTTAGCTGGGCGTCGCCCCCCATGACGGAGGGTGCCCATCTCTGTAGCACCCTCTGGCTCTGTGATGAAGCGAATCTGGACTCCGTGGTCTACAGGGGCCCGGGGCTCGGTCATGGTGAAAGCCTGCTCCATGGGCAGGAGGGGTCCTAGAAGACGAAGAAGAGTGTCAACTGAGGGACTGGACGTAGAAAAACCCCGAAACCTCCACCTACCCGGCTCTTGTGAGGCTGATTGTCTTGTCAGTTCCGTCTACATAAAAACAGCGGTTCTTAGGCTTGATCTGAGCAGCAGAAGCACCCTAAGGGCCTGTTAAAACAGACTGCTGGACCCACCCCCAGAGTTTCTCATTCGGTAGGTCTGAGGTGGGCGGGGCCTGAGGAGCTGCAGTCTCCCAGGCTCCCAGGTGGTGCTGATGGTGCTGGTCCAGGAACCACACTTGAGACCCACTAACCCAGAAGAATCCTTTTTCTCTGATACAGTCCTGGGAGCTTGGCTTTGTCCATTTAAAGGTTTTGCTTGATCTTCACACATGCACCACCATGTGCCTCCCCAACCCCAGAGAAAACAGAAACCAAGCCCTACCTCACAGACACCTCTACCCCAATGGAGCAAAGGGGACTCGGCTCCCATAGCTCATTTCAAATACAGAAGACCTCCAAGGCATGCCATCTCATTTCTGGGAGGATGCCACTGGATTAGAGGAACCGAGGGCTGGGGACAGGGACAGGGAAGTGACTGGCTTTCTACTGTGTATCTTTTTGTTCCTTTTCAATTTGGAACTATGTAATAATGTATTGCCTATTCAAAAAAAAAAAAAAACGTAAACAACACGTAAGAGTGCCAGTTCAAGGGGCCCCAGGACAAGCAGACTTGTCCCACCTGAGGGCCAGAGCCAAGAACACTCACAGGCCAGCTCCCCGGGTCCACATTGCCCAAGCTCGGAGTCAGCAAATGAAATGTATTCCAGGTTTGCTCTGGCTCCCGGACCTCGGAGAGGACTGGTTCTCCTCCAAGCACATAAGAAGTGCAGCGTCCCTAGTCCTTCTGCTAATCTCCACCAAAGCCTAGCACCAAACTGGGGGAGGAGCCTCTAATGTGCCAGACAGAGACACAAACATACCCAACTCAACCTTTTTGTGGAGCTCTGGGCCAAGGAAACTTGGCAAGGCCCCTTTCAGGGATTGTACAAATGCTAGGAGGCCCAGGAAACCGGTGAGACGGAGGAGGAGGAAGGGCCGAGGTCCAGGTGAGAAAGGGCTTGGTGGGGGAAAGAGTTCCTGCAGGAGGGACAGCATTCCTAGCATTCCAGGCCCTTCCCCTCCAGAGAAAGTTACCAGGAGGGAGGAGCCCCGATTGCCGAAAGAAAAAAAAGAAGAAGAAAGAAAGAAAAAGAGAAAAAAAAACCCTCAAGGCCTTTTTTAGTGTCCCGGCTCCATTCTAGAACATGATGAAAGCAATGCACCTCCCCCAGGAGACAGCCCACCCCAATTTTACCCCAGAATCTCAAGAGGCTCATCAACACCTGAAAGCCCACCCATGAGCCCCAGGACCACTGTCTTCCACTATTTAGGCATTAGGGAGCACCTTAACCAACCTCTGACTCAGAGGCCCCAAACTGCAGGGTATTTAGTTGATGGGGCCCTATGTTGGAATTGAAGAAATGGTACCAGGAAGGAAACCACAAGGCAAAGGGAAGGGGTAAGTTTTCCAAACCAGAAAAAGCACTGGACTAGAGTCAGCATCGGGCTTGGCATCCTAGCTCTGCCCCTCGCTTGATGTATACAACGTTTGGCAAATCACAACTCGTCTGAGCCTCAGTTTCCTCATCTTTGAAATGGGTATGATGATAATACCTCACAGAATTAGACAATAATTCCATGGGTATATGCAACTGTTGAAATTTATCAAGTTATACACTTAAGATTTTTGCATTTTATTTACTTAGGTTCTACTTTATTATTTTTTTTAATGACGAGACATTAAACATAATGTTAAACGTAAATGCACCTAGCAGCACGTGCCTGTCACAAAACCGACATGTTACCCTGCATAGGCTCTGCGCCTTCCAACAGAACTTCCTGGCTTCACACGGTTCATAGAAGGATGTCACTTCCTCAGAGAAGCCTTCCCTGACTACCCCTTTCCACAAACTAGGTCAGAGCCATGTTACATGCTCTACAGTTGCCCTTCAGTGAATTTGCCTCAGCTTATTTTTATATATTTATCAGAGTGATGATTTGTTTCCAGTCTGTCCCCCCCACTAGATTATAAGCTCCTAGAGAGCAAAAAGTGGTTCTCTGCTGATTCCTGGGTCCCCAGGGTCTGGCACATTGTAGATAAATACTTTGTTAAAGGTTGTATCCTGGACCAGACTTGCACAGAAGTGGGGAGATTTGCCAGAGGAGCCCTCCTAGCCCTTTCTCGTTTGCCCCAGTAACAAGACCTCCTCCTGGTCTGGACTCCCTGCCGACGTCAGTCATAATTTTGGAACCAGATGTGCCTAGACTGCCAGCTCGCAGAAGTCACATGATTTATTCATGATGCAGCTCTCCCCTGTCAGTACATCTACTGATCTCCCAGATCCAGGTCAAGAAGTTCCCAGGCTTGGCTCGGTACCGTGCACAGCCCCTTGCTCACCCAAGAGCACCAAGTTGCTCACGAACGCACCCCCAGGTCCCAATGACTCACTAACCTCCACCACCTTCAGTCCCAGGACATGTGGGTCAGGGGCTGGGAGGGCTGAAGGGATCTTTGGGCTGGGTCAGAAAGCAGGGCTCTAAATGATTCAACATGGAAAACCCGAAACCTATCCGCCTTCAGTTACCGAGGACGTTGGGGCGGGGCCGGGGAGCAGGCAGCTCCGAGGCCTTGCGTAAGGCCCAGAGGCAGGTAAACAGTGAGCTAGCACCAGGCAACATGGACTCCGAGCCTTCGCTCTCACCAGATGTCTGACCCTGCTTTTCCCTCCCCTGGCATGTGCCCAAGCTGCTCCTCACCAACTGTACTCCAGGAAGAGACTAGGCCACAAGTTAATTCAGCTTTATCTGTCTGCCTCTGCCATTCCTGCCTGCAAGCAGGGGGAGGGCACGGCACCTGTACCAAACAGCCACCTCTCCCTGCGTTACTCATTAGCCGGCCCTGCCCCAATTCCATCACCTCTGACCCAGCCATAGCGGCTGGCTTCCAACTAGGAGTGACAGGGTCCCTGGACTCCCGGAAGGAAGTGGGGGTGGGGTTGTTTCAGGTGTGTGGAGGAAGAACCCATATACACAGGGCCAGGCAATAGGCTGGATGCTACACACCTGGCAGATTTGGAAAATGGGAGAAATGGAGGTAGAGATGAGACTCCCCTCAGAGGTAACAAGGAAAGCACATGGTCAAACTAGAAAAGGACAGCTCAGTGACCTTGATCATTTGGCTCCTTTTTTCTCAATAGAGTTACAGAGATAAGAGGTTCCCCCATGGATCCAAAAAGAACCCCGCAAGTAGACTCCTGGCTCGGTCCACTGAAAAAGCCGAAACCTGAGAGCTGCCTGGCCAGTGGGGGAAAAAAACACAATCAGGAACTGGGCCCCAGCAAACTGGCTGGACTGGTTTGAGGCAAGGGGAAGGGGAGGGCCAGGGAGACTCCACAGGCAGCTTGCAAAGCAGACCCGAGAAATTCCACACCAGAGGAGGCAGAGGGGCAAAACCATGGGCAGGGACTCTGTCCAGCCTAGAAGCCAAGGCCAGGGCTCTGAAGGCAGAGGCCCAAGATAGAGATGGAGCAGGAGGGAGAAGATGCACAGAAACAATGAGTGACAGGCCCCTGTGTGACAGGAAGCCTTGGTCTCCTTCTGCCCCTCCCTCCCAAAGATGCATTCCGGATCCCACACTAACTTTGGCCACCTCCCTGGCCCTTCGTTTTCCCACTCATAGAGAAGCAGCCCTACCCGCCTCCTCATCTCCCACAGAGGTGAAGGCATGCAGGCGGCCTGGAGAAGGCAGGAAGTGTTCCAGGAAGCCAGAATCCTCTTAAGGTCAAGCAAATCTCTGGATTAGCAGTCCCCTAGCGCCAGCCCCCCACTCCCAAATATCCAGGGTGAAAGAAGAGGTGCAGAGGCACCTGCAGGCAGCCTGTCTACAACATAGCGGTTACTAATTATTTCCCAATTACAACCACTTTCCTCAGGCAGGGCATCAAAGGGGCTGAGCTAAGGCTGGCTCTGGTTCCCTTACCTGCCTAAGGCAAGGGAATCTCCCTCCCAACTCTTGTCGGGGCCCCAGTGTGCACCTCTCATCTAGCTGGAGACTTGGAGGTGTTAACTCCCCTCGTCTGTGGTCTGCTGAGGAGTCCTGCCTATTTCCTGCACCACTAAGTGTCCACAGCCTGTGCAACAGCCATCCTGGTCCAGTAGTCAGGGATGCCTGGAGGGGTTTCAGGTAATAATGAGGATCTTCAGAGAGGCTTCAAGGAAATGGGTTAGGCCCCCCAAACCTCACCCAATGGCTCCATCTAAGAACCACAGAAGAAAGTGCATGTGCTTGGGAGGGGAGGGTTTGACATGAGCCCCCCCCCCAAAGGGGCCTCATTAGAAAAAATCAGTTCTAGATATTTTGTAGGCCTAGGGCTCTTTGCTTCCTCATATCCCTCTCTTGGAGAGCACTGTTGCAAGAGGAAGAAGGAAACATTCTCCCTGGCACGAAAGCCTTAAATAGTTTCACACCTAGCAAAGAGACTGCGGTACCCTCTTATTGGGCCCCTCAGTGTCTCTTATTTGCAACTGCCTTCACCTGTAGGTGAATGGCTAGAGAAAGATTCCACACCTCAGATCCACCTCAAAGCCAGGAGGGAGGCTGTCAGCACAGAGGGCAGAACCGCAGGGAGCAGCACCTCTCCACGCCCTCCCCCTTGTCTCTAAACCTGGCAGGCAGCAGTTCCCTTTGCCCAACTGAGACGAAATCCTTCCCCCCACCGCCCCCGTCTCTTAGAGAAATTCTGTCCCTGGGACCGGCCTCTGACCCCAACAGAGATCCTGGCCCTGAAACGCTTTCATGCTCTGGGAATAGCCTTAGCCTCAGGTGCCCCTCACCTGGCACCTTCCCAGGCACCTGTCTCTGGCACCTGAGAGTCGGAGCCAGCTCTTAATCAGTACTCCCACCCTACCTTGACCTCCCGTCTTCCCCGCTCCAACTCAGCACCTGTGCCCTGGAGGGAGGTATCTCGGATCGCCTCGACCCCCGCCCCTCAGGGGGGGTACACTTGAGGGCCAGCTTGCCTCTCAGGTGTCCTTGCCCCCGCTCGGTTCACTCACCCCAGCCGGGCTCGGCGCTCCCGAGCTCGGGTTCAGGTTCGGGTTCGGGCTCCGGCTCTGGCAGCGCTGCATGCGCGGCTCCCAGGCCCTCCCCCTCCGTCCCTCCGCACTCCCTCCCTTCTCCCCCTCCCACCAACCTGTTACTCCCCTCTGGGGCTCCACCTCCATTGGCCGTCACCACCCGCCCCGCCTTAGCCTTCTTCTGGTTGGTCCGTTTCCCGCGAGGGGCGGGGCCGCTACCGCAAGGACGGGGACCCGGGGTCGTCTACCGGGGTGGGCGGGAGGTGCAGGCCGGGTCACGTGGGCCGGCGGGCGATGGAGCGCCGGGGCGGGGCGGCGAGGGGCAGCAGGAGGCCATTTTGGGGGCCCCTCGAGTCCTCCCCCGTCCCCGGACCCGGGAGCCGCCTGCCAGAGCATCCTCTGGCCTCAGCTGGAAAAGAGCACCCCCCTCTCCTCCCCGCCTCCGGTGTTCTCAACCCGAATCTCTGTCCCGAGCCCTTTCAGCCCTTCACCTACCTCCGCATAAACCGGATTAACTCTTCCGTCACTTCTGCAGAAAACATCTGTCTCCTGATGTCTGAGCCTCCTCCACCTCAGCTCGTCTCCTTGGGGTCCAGATCCCCAATTTAGGATTCCCTTCCCCATCCCCTGGCCTCCACAAATCGTTTCCCAGGCTGGTACCTTTTTCACTATAGTAATCGCCTTCCAAATTACATAATTTAATCTTTAAAATCATATTCATCGTTTGTCTCTCGTCCTACCGTCAGCTCCACCAGGGCAAGGATCTCTCCGGGCTCGTTCATGGCTTTATCCCAAACACCTAAAACAGGGACTGGCACATACTGGGCGCTTAGTATGTGTTGAATGAATGAATGAATGAATGGGAACGGGATGAAGTTTACGTTGAAGGGGGGTGTAAATTTACATTGACTAGGAGTCACCCTCATTCTAAACGGAAGGGGACTCAACCCCAGATTGTAAATGCACTTTTTGAAAAAGTGGGGAAATTGATCCCAGCCTCCCGAAGAATAAGGTCAGGCAGCGGGGGCTCAGCAAACCAGAGCCTCATACCCTCGCTGTGGTGAAAGAGCACGGCTGTTAACTGGCTCCCTCGACTGTAACCGTTGAGATAGGTAAAAAACAGATTGATTGAGCTCATGTCGCTGGGCTCTGGATGTTGTTCTCAATTATTCATTCAACAGATATTTATTGTGGACCTATTCGGGGTTGAAGAGGCATCTTAAATGCAGCTGACAGTCAGATGTGTTCGCGGGAGCTACTTCCTTTACCCTCCCCCCATCCTTCAGAGGCCAGGTGTGGGTCCTGAAGAGTAAAGTCCACCGCCTAGTTCCTTGGCTCCGATGCAAAGTCTCTGCATTCCAAGGGAAGCATTTATATCAGGGTTAGAGTCCTCCAACCCGCCAATGCCCTGGGGAGGAACTGCAACGAAAGGTGTGGAGGTGAGGACCGGAAGATGCGGCAGGCCTCCTGGACTGCTTTACCTCCAGACCCCGGGGGGTGGGATTTTTAAAGAGATTTTTTTTTGGAAATGTGAGATTGTTGAGTTGACCCAGATATTGGAAAAGTGGAAACGCCTCAACTCTCCTGGGTAACACCTTAATAATTAGGATACTTAGTGCATTTGTAGTAAATACAAAGTGAGGGTGGTGAAGGAGACACTCCACCCGAGCACTCGAGCACTCGGAACACAGACGACAAGGAAAAACCGGGAGGCCTCTCCTCTGAGTCACCCTCATGTCATCTGTTCCTTAAGGAAGCACTCAGTCTCACACAGGTGGCAAAGGTGACACCAAGGTCTTTTCCCAGAGTGTGTGGTCCCTCTCCTTAAGAAATGCAACAATTTGGCGAAAATCGGCCAGTTTATAAACATGGCAATGGTAGGAAATTAAAGCAAATATATCCAGAAAGAGGAAATGAATAACATGGATATAAATTCAAGAGGGTCATTTTACTTTTGGGAGATAGTGAAAAGGAGAAAGTTCCAAGCAAATTGGAGATTCCATCAAAGAAGTGAATTTGGAGCCCAATTTCTGTTTTAAATTCTTTCCTCGCGTCTTTCCTGAGTTCTCCAAGACCATCACCAGGACCACTAACACCTGGACTGAAACTGTTATCTCAAAGATCACCTGTTAATCTGAGGCCAGTTCCTAAATGGAGCAGCAGGGAAGGCTACACAGGAAGATTCATTAAAGATAAATAACCGAAAGGTGATGAGGTCGTTGGCTAAGATTAAAAGGACAGGAGGCAGAAGGGTTTGGAGAGGACCTAGGAAAGGAAGCATATAATAAACTAACTTTGGAATTTGCCATATTGGAGAAGTAGATGGGATGCACGCGCGCGCGCGCGCGCGCACACACACACACACACACACACACACACACACAAAGTTTAGCAAACAAATGGAAATGAAGCTTAGAAGAGAATTTAGGGGTAGAGGCAGATCTAAGTATTATCCTCATAGATGTGAAAATTTGCAGAGGACCGAAGAAAAGACCTTGAGAAATATGGAACAGGTGAAGGGGGAAAAGGGATGGCGCATTCAGAGAGATAAGTGGGAAAGTCCGTGGAAGAGGGGCGTTCCAGTAGGAGAGAGACTGGACTTTGGCACTTAGAAGTTGGTCTTCCAGATGTCAGCTTCAGCTGAGCTGTAGACCCTCCGCTCAGACTGCGATAACAAGTATGTCAAGAAAAGAGGAGGAGAAAGGGTACTTCGACTTAAGAAAAACAGTGTGGAAGAAAGAGGAAGGTTTATGTTTGTCTTGTTTTGCTTTTAGGAAGGAGAGATTTGATTATATTTTGAGAATAAGCCCGAAGGGTGAGCGAGAGTCGAGAAATAAAAGGGTCACTTGAAATTAATATATTATATGTCAACAGTAATATTCAAAAACATATTTTTTTAAATTGGGGAACAGTATGTTTCTCCAGGACCCATCAGCTCCAAGTTTCAATCTAGTTGTGGAGGGCGCAGCTCAGTGGTCCATGTCGGGATCGAACCAGCAACCTTGGTGTTATGAGCACTGCGCTCTAACCACCTGAGCTAATCAGCCACCCTGAAAAATAAATTTTTAGAAATTAAAAAAACAGTAGTAAAAGGGAGCGAGAACAATCAAAGCCTGGACCTACAGGGAAAGGTAAGGTCTGTGTTCTAGAACTTAAATTGGGAGACCGATTATGAAGGAGTGACAAGAGTTGAGGAAGTTGAGTCAGACAACTTTAGCTCATAGGATTTCTGGACCTGCCAAAGAGAAGAGAGATTCTGAGGGCTGGAGATGTCGGAGACAAGTTTTGGAACTGCTGGAATTATCTGCCAGCCTAAGGATAGGTGCCAAATGACTGGCATGAATGAAATGCTCCCAGAAAGTCTTCCTTTTGACTAGAAATAGGTTGGTATCCAATCTGGGTCTTGAAAAAAAATAAGCAGTTGAAAGCAAAGGAGGAATAAAAGCAAGAAAATGTGCAAAGATTCTTGGGGCAGGAAAGTGTCATGTTTGTTGTGGGAGCTGGAAGGAGTTCCAACAGGTTGAGCAAAGGAACGGGGGAGTCGTGGGAAGTGAGACTGGAAAGGTAGAATCTGGGATAGATTATGCAAGACCTTGAATACCAGGACAAGGACTGTGGGCTTTTGGGGTAGGTAATGGAGAGCCATAGAAGGTTTGAGAGAAAGAACGTGGCAGTGCTTCCAAAGGTTAACCTAGGTCGGTATAATCCATGCAGTGACAAGGTGAGGTGGTGAGCCCCACCTAGAGCAGGGCAAAGGGAGGGGAAAGAAAGGACCACTCCCCCCCCCATGTCCTTTTAGTACATTATTCATCATTTCTTTCTCAAGCTTTGTTTACAAATACTTTGCTCTTCGACTGAAATAATGATATATAATTATACTATCGCTTGGGGCTTTTCCTGGTTGACTAAAATTTCTATTATGTGTGTTGTTAGGGAAGATAAGAAGTGGTTCCTTGATATACTCACCTGAAATACTTTATGTGCTCACTTGATATATTCACTCGATCCTGGGTTCAGGATCTCCAAGAGTCCCCAAAAGATAGTTCATTCTTTCTGACCCAGGTCCCTTATTCTTTTCCTCAGTTTGACTAGGGAGGTAGAGCCACAGAGATGCTACGAGTGGACATCACTGATTCAGAGTCAGGAGTCAAGAGACCGATACTTAATTTTATTTCTGGGCACGCTGTAATTCTAACCAAGTCTCCTAATATCCTTGGAATTCAGTTCCCCTTGAGAAATTAAGAGGGTGATCCCAAGATCCATAATTATATTGCTTCCTTTGGACTTCTTGGAAAGTCATGTTCTGTCTTCCGGCTTCCCCTTTTATCATTGGCTGGGAACATGAGTAAGTGTAACCATACCTGGTACAGAGCTGGGTGACTGTTTGGGACAAAGAATTCCTGGCAAACTTTTCAGCCTGATCAGAGTCACTCCCTGACAAGGGAAAGACACCCCAAAGCTCGTCTCCCCACAGCCTCTAACCCCTTTATCGCCCCAGCTGCCCCACCCCTAATGCTCTGAGCAACTAAATTACAATATGTGCAAAGTCTCCAGCATGCATTCAGAATAAGGGTATCATTTAAAAGAAAAAAAGAGCAAGAAGGATACATAGTTCCAATTCCAATGGAAATTAAAAGGAACAGGTTCCTTCTGCATGATTTTTTTTTCCTCTGAGAGGTTAAAAATGCCATTCTGAGGAGAGAACAAGCTTTCCTCCACACACTCAAACAACAGCGGGTCCCACCTCCCATCTCGCTTTCCTTACCTCGTCAGTGAAGAAAGCTTGGCGGTTTACACCTACACGCAAGTTCCAAAAAGCCCCCGCCCCGCCCCCTTCTCTCACAGGCCACCGTGACAAAGAGTTTCATCAGAGTCCCACAGTTGTCTGATTGCCTCAGGTTCTTTATCTGCATTTTTTTTTTCAAAGCAAATGTCTCAACTACAGAGGCAAGATGATATGCGGACATAGCACTGGACTCGAAGACAAAATACCTGATATGGCAGCCATGGAGATGGGCAGCTCCGATTTTTCCTTGAAGAAAGAGTCAGCCATTCAACTGCCCAAGTGCCGTCAGCGAGCAGCCTCCA